ACCTTAGATTTTGTGAGAGGTCTGAGTTGCTTTGCCTCCATGTCGAAACCAAGCTCCTGAAATATCAATAATCATATATTTTGAAGGTCTAATAAAATCTAGTCGTTGCGTATATATAGCCTCAAGATCGACTTGGCATAATTGGCGCCCCTCTACTCTCACAAACTCTAATCCGTCCTGTCGAACCGATTTTGTGTACAATATTAATAATCGGGGGTCCCTCCCCGAAGAAAGATTTCTGCATAGAACTTGATTCTCTCCAGACTCAAAAGTCTATTTGGCTTTTTGTCCCGATTTTCTTGGCACAGTAATTGGCACTTCTCCAGATCTTTGCCAGAACAATCATATCCACACACATGACTCAATGACTTAATTTCCTCCTCTGCTTTCCTCTTATTATACTTTGTGATCCGGCTCCGGAGTTTGACTTCTCGATTGCAACAGTCAGACGTAAGCCAAGGACACCCAGTTTCCTTATGTCGTGCAATACGTCGGAAATAATCACATTCTTCCCATGTCAAGCATCTTGAGCTAGAGAAATCGACTCTACTTTCCCATTGTTCTGCTGACATGATCCGATTGAGATGCTGTATAGCCTCATTGTTGTCAAGAATTTCGCGGGATTCTGCACAATTTTTAAGAGGGAGCATACATAGGTCTAGGATACGTTCTGATCTGTCTTCAGGAGAGGTTTCTAGAAGCTCAAGCAAAACTTTCGACCGCATTTTGGGAAACATCGTCTCGATTCCAATGGTAGCCAATCATGATTCCAGCCATCATCCATATTAATAATAATACGGCGAGGCATATGCGAATTGTAGTAGCTCTTGAAGGTTCTTGACGATACCACTCAGACATCTTAGACTCTTAGTAACTGTATCTTTGTGTGACAGTAAAGAGATATTCAAGACTCCAGTCTTTGATATTCGTTTGTATCTGCTACACTGATTAACAGTTTCAAGTTAGCCAATGCCTCATATTAAAAATTATACGCAAATCACTCACATACAGTTTTCTGGGTACCAAGAACATAGATTTGGACTGGTTTTGGACAAGCATGAAGGTAAGAATGCACTGTGTAAACTCCTTCTACTTATACTTTATTAGATTTCTCTTACGTCAGACATCCAAATGCATTAAATGGCGTGACCGGACTATCTTTAAAGGCTAAAGCCTTGGCTGACTCAATTTTCGCCAAGATGACGCTGATCATCAAAAGTTCGAAGAAACTGTATCTTAAAGGTAGATATATAACCATGAGTTCATGCAAAGTCTTTATCCGACGAGAAAGACCAAATCAATAAATCATGGACAGTTATCTTTCAACAAGAACAAGTGTTAACCACGACGCAAAAGAGATTTCCTGCAGGTTATCGGCATAGTACCTAAATTCGTCCTTCTCCATCCCATTGCTACTACTCCAAAAAATCTTGGTCATTTAGTGTCAAAGTCTAGACTCGAGTTACTAGACTATCGATGTAACACAATTAAAAACCCCGCGTTTTCGACGATCATGACAATTAGCCTGTCATGATACGCCCGCTAGTTCTCCGGTCATCACAGTCTTCACAAGTGGCAACCAAATTGATCATCGTAACGGAGATTCCAGCGAATCAATGCAATGGTAGTTTGAAAATTGGCTCCAATGATAAACAAGTAATCGTCGTCCTCAGGATTGTGTATTAGAATAGATTCAACTAAAAACACAAACACTAACTTACACTTTACGAAATCTTAATTTGTCTCGTCTCCACCAAGCCATAAGATAGGTATGGTGTTACTCCAACATGGGAATGGTATTATAAGTATAAAGTATTTGGACTCTCCCCAGCACATTGCTTCTTTCATGCTGCACTCTCTCATCTGAATTATAAACTACCCATAAATATTTATCGACAAGGCATACGCGGCTTTTTGTGACAAAATGAACGTGGTACATAGATCTGAACTCACTGGCTTTACCTTGTAACTTCTCAACTGCGCCAGCACTGTTCTCAATTTTTCTTCCAATTATCAGACCTTCCTCGCAAGCTTTCATGAATGATCTACTGATTCAAAGTTTGTTTCGATATGTAAATGCTAGTGGTTTGAGAATTCTCACCCCTTTATAATTTCGCGAACGGATGCAATTGCGGTCAAAACAATTCATGACTACAGCCGACGGTAGAGCACCAAACAAATACATTCAACGAACAAAGAATTTTCCCATGCAATAGATATATAACAGAACGCCACCAAATATCATTATCAGCTTAAATACCCGAATCAAATTCCGTGTTCCAAGCATTATCAACCCGCTCGGTATTATACCATGTATCCCACCTCTTGCATCCCGCATCTACAGTGGAAAGATCTACTCTTTGCGTAATTTCTGATTCTCGTTCTAGGAATTGAAGTGCAAGCCCCTCCCCGACATGGAACGCAATATGACAATGTAATAACCAAGCTCCAGGATTATCCGTAACAAAGGCAATAACTAAATACCCGAGAGCTGGAAGCATGGCTACATCACGCCGAGCAGGATTAGCAAAGTTTAAACTAGTTTTGTCTGTGAAATTGACACCATTCTCCTGCCCTAAAATGTAAAAGTCGTGACCATGAAGATGGATAGGGTGTGGTATCGCGGCAGCATTTTTGATGATCCAGAATGTCCATACATTTGCATCTGGAAGTTCAATGATACTCCGGTGTACGTTGTAATTCTTGTTTCCCTGGGCAACATATTGGAGCGTGGGCTTATCCCACTCAATTTCCATGTATGTATCATTGATACTCCAGACATACGGTGCAGGTGCTTTTGGAAGCGAATTACTTCCAGGCCCAGTAACGATCAATTCTTGGGCAGTAGGCCACACGAATTCATTTTCGGGCACGGATTTCTCATTCCAGGAGACTAGTTGAGTCTCGTCTTCACAGCTTTGGGGTATAAGAAAAGATTTGGAATTTGGCTCCGATAATTCGACACCCTGGTACGAGAAAATGGCATTGATAGACCCATTGTTGGCATTTTGACCGCAGCCAAACCCCTTCTGTGCCGGAGGTTTGGGAACAATGGCTCTGAACCAGTAGTTGGAAGGAGTTTGATCAGCTGTAATGATAACATCGTATCGTTGGCCAGTTGCTATGAAGATATTGTTGGTAGTGTAGGGCTGAATCGGTACGAAATCAGTTTGAATCACTTGAAAAGAGTGAGAATCTAAAGTGACTTGGAAATGATTGTCTATACTCGTGTTGATGATTCGAAGACGATATTTTGCTCCTGGAACTAGTCCTGATATTTGATTGTACACTCCAGCAGTTTTGTGAGGGTTTCGATTCGTTCCGTTTATGAGGCCATTGTCTGCTTTTGGAGGACCTTTACTAACAGAGAGAAGGCCTTCTTCATAAGTAGACTTGTAGTAGAAATCAGTAATTGGTAGTGGACCGAGATCATAGTCATAGTTCAGCGAAGCAGGACCGTTAATGACTATACTTCCAAGAACTCCATCACCATATTGGGCTGCATGGTGGGAGTGATACCAAGAGGTACCATGCTGGGTTGCGAGAAATTTGTAGACTTTGGATGAACCCGGTGGAATCGGACATTCTGTTATTCCATTCACACCATCCATGGTATTGGTATTCTTCTGAACAATTCCATGCCAGTGAATGCTTACACTAAATAGATTCAATATTTGATGGTGAAATAAGAAAAGCAGGGGAGATATTTACCCGTCTGTGATTATTTGATTGATAACAGTAATTTCTAGTGTATCACCCCAGTCTATGAAGAGATGAGCCAACATTGCACTGGGGAACGGGTCCACATTGGGAAGAACTCACTTGCAGTAATGGTGGGACCTGGATAAGTGCCGTTGACTACTAACATCCATCTTGGTGTACCGTCGGGTGACATAGTCTGATTTGTTATGGTAAGAGTGTACTACGAAGAATGAGATGTGAACAACTTTGACAACGCATTAAATACATACAGCAACAACAACCCCAGTATTTGGCCATGCCTCCTCCGAATCTGTATCAATCGAATAGTTACCATTCCAACAATTACGTGACGATGCAGCATTTAAGCAAGTTGAGGTTGAAGTTCTCTTATTATTTGACGACACCTTGCTTGGTAGAGCAGAAGGAAGACAAGCTGGAATGAGAATTATTATACAAAGCAACAGTGTGAAAGACATAATTAAATATGCGTCTAGTCTCAGCAATAGGAACTGTAACGCATTTGGTTCATTAAAAATATGGAAAATTCACAATCTATTTATGTGATGGTAATTGCAACTATTGTATTGGAACTGTTTATAGATATATGATTTGGGTCACTATTGACCACATCAATTATTGATTTCTCTATGCCAGACACTTCTTGAATATGAATCACGATGTCATAGAAGGCCGGATAAAATTTCTATCGGTATTGAAGCCGATTTTACCTTCTAAGGCCTATAAAAAAGCCGCAGAATATTGTTGGTGTCCGTTCCAGCGGCCGAAACTCATCACTCGAGGCAAAGACTTCTGCAAAGACTTCTCTACAAACATTAAGGTGTAATGCTTGGAAGCATCGTGAACCAAACGTGTCCCTCAGAGGTATTCATTGTGGCGATAATCTGAGTATGTATAGAAGGATTTATTTCCTCAAACAGTTTCCTGATATGAGTTCACCAAGTATGACCAGGCAATGCATTGTCACCCCTGACTACAAGTGATTACCGCAGTGGATACCGCCATTAAGAATGCGCTTGCAATAGGGGATATGATTCTTCAGTAGCGGCGCTGGGTGAGATGGTTTTCATGGTGCGATTGACACGGCTGAGGCAGGGTCAAATACTGTGTGGCTGTCGAAAAACTCCTTGAGGTTTTCTGAGATAAGTGACAAGATGGAACAGAGTTTCAAGAAAAAGGACGCAAAGTAACAAGAGAACTTCAATGCCTCGAAGTAAACAGACGAAACATTCTCATTCCCTTCACCTTACTCACCAATTCCATCACACATGTTGGTAATACAATTCTAGGGATAAGAAGCCACAGTAAAAGAAGACCCATAAAGCCGCCGCTGTTATTAGTTAAATTCTAATCTAATATACAATTCCAGTGTACAGATCTCGCTATGCATCAGGGAGCAATGTACATAACATGACGATGTCCAATTCACCCGTTCTGTTGGTCCAACACCTTGAGTGGAGCCTAAAACTACCCGTTCATTAAACATGTCCAAATCGGTAGTAACAATGATTCAAATCCTAAACGCCAACCAAACCACCATCATTTATATTCGTTATATGTCGTGAATCCCCCCTTCATATTTTACAATTCGATGAATTCGAAACTCATGACACGGGCACCGCACCGGGAGCATGGTCTACAGTGTCTGTTGACGGCGAAAGAATTGGAGCCTTTTCAATTGAAGATTCATCCTCGTCATGCCCACCTTCTGTCGTAGTGGTTGTAGTCCTAGTCCCGTTCGTCTGAGCTTGGGGGAACTTTTGATTCAGTTGATCCTCTTCCTCTCGCGAAATCGGGGCGGGTTTAGCCTTATCTTCCCTACTAACGCTTTCCGCCAAACTAGACCTCGAGTAAACAGAAGAGGAAGATGAATTTCCAGCACCTATTATGAACCGGAATTTCTTGGCATCCTTCTTGGCTTGTTTCTTTTCTTCTTTAGTATCCCCCGAGACCTCATCATCGGTCAAATCCTTCTCGACTGGAATTTCCAGATACACCTGGAAGCCTCTACGTCTGAATCCTTTGTTCCATTGCCTCAGAGCTGATTTCAATTCTGATTCGTATTGAAGGTCTCTTTTGATTATCGCAGTAATTTTCCCACGCTTCCATAGCCAGCTAAAGCTCTTTGACGGTGGCAGAGTTTCAATTATCTCTTTTGTGAATTGTGACCATTCGTGCTCGGAAACACCATATTTGTTCAATTTTATATTGTATGGAAACCCAGACGATGGCATGTTTTCTTTCGAGGGTATCATTAAAGTTCTCGTTTGTGGTCGCGGGGCCTCTGCGAATGAAACTCTTCGAGAATCCGGGCCTTGAGATCTCGATCTTTCAGTACCAAGTTCAAATGATGTTCGAGGGGTGACATTTGTAGATTGTGTAGTACGCCGAGGAGTTATATTTTGAGGTGGAATTACTGGACTGGGCCCTGGGGCTGATGTTGGACGTTGTGTTTGTGATGGTCCCCTTCTGCACTCAGTGTTAGCTATCAGTGTAAGATGATATGCGGGGAAGAAATTGAGAAACTTACGATTGGACTGAAGATGATCGCGAATTTGCCGTTGATCTGCTTGTCCTTGGTTTTGCTTGACTGTTCTTTCGACTTGGAGCTTTATTGGTCTCCTTTTCGAGCTCTGCGAGCAAACTTAATGCCCCGGACATGATTGTACTTTGACTGGCTAGGTTGATTTGCTATTATTGGGTTTAAAGGGGACAGGTTGATGAACGACTAGGTTCTCATCGACGAATGTGTTGCGGGAGATTAGCCACAAGAAGAGGCAGGTTATGATATATATACGGAATAGAGTGATCGATCTATGTGTCGCTGTGTGGAATTGGGATAGACAATTGGGCACAAAAAAATGGAGAACAAATAAATGATATGATTATGATAATGATAGCAGTGATGGATGGATCTCTTTCTATGGGGGACGAGTACGAAATGGCAGGACACGACAGCTCTTTAATCAATTCGGTGCTATGAACCTTAAATTTTTGGATTATTGATGAATGATAGTGATTGTGGCCGGGTCTTGCATTTATATTCATCCATTGTAAGCGCTGATAGGTCACAATGGTCATGGTCTGTGGCGTAGCACCTGGTGCAGTGTGGCACATGGTAAAGCATGGAAGGAAGCATGGATGGGTATTTTGTCAGCCCTGTTCAAGAGCCAAGAGAGATGCTGAGAAATGTACTTGATTATGGAGCAGATGGGGCATCTAGCAAGTGCACGGTGTGGTTGCTGGTGTGGAACGCCAGGTGGAATCAACAAAAAGTTAATATGTCGGTTTGGTAAATGACTGCAAGTGGGTATCTTTGGGTTTACTACTTCGTACAGCTGTTTATCAGAGTGATCATTGATGAGATGATTTTGATGCCAATCGAAGTGTTTATGATCGACATTGATATACCCGAGGACCTCATAGCTTGATACGAATCAATCTGCTCGGTACATCTTACTGGATTCGGTATTTGAATGTTTGAAATGATTTCGAGTAGATAAGATTTTAGATTCAGGGGCGAGAGGGGGAAAAGGGAAAATACGATTTCATGCTAATTCAATGTCTTACTGTAATTCTGGTACCTACTCTCCCTCTCCCTCTCCCTCTCCCTCTCCCCCGTACATAGGTACCAACATTCAAACGTTCGTAGCCGAGGCCAACGACCAAGCACTGTACCAACTTTCTTTCTGTAATAGAAATTCCACACCGTTCTTGTCAATTTTGTACAACACATCACACGACCAGCCTTCCAGGAAAATTTCATTTCCCTCTTGAAGTATTTTTCTTTAGTATATAAAAATCTTCAAAGAGTCATACTCCATGTGGATTCCATCATGTCCTAATGCTAAATCAGGCAAAATATACTTACTAAGAAAGGAGCAGTGGCAAGGAGTGGATCCGAATGAAGTCCAAAAACTTAAAAATGGAAAAATGCGGATTTTTGGGGATGGTCTAGATGTCCGGAAGTCCTAGCGATGTTGGTTTGCTGACTGTATTCGCGGTACAGAGACCCTTTGGGCGACTACAAACTTTCGAGGCGTTCCTGGACTCCATCTTTCTCGAGGAGAGATGTCATGGCAGCGTCATATGAATATTCTTGTATTTACAATCTCTTGAACGTTCGATTGTTAACGAGGCTGAGTCCGTTTTTCCTTTCGGACATTCTCATTTCACCGGGGAAATGGTTGGAAATCTTTTCATCTGATCTTCATGTATTCGCATCATGCCATGAAGATTCCAGAATTGTCTGAAACGCCGTCCGAATTCTTCAATACTTCACGTCCAATCATGACGTGTAATCCTAGCATTGGAATTAATTATAGGGATTAATTGACAAATAGATCTAAGTACGTGCATGAAATAGGTAATTCTTCGATTGAAAAGGGTGCAAATGAGAGAAATACCCCGCACGGGAGGTAAATGGACATAGGAAAAGAAAATGCTCTGGCCGAGACTAACTGCTCTCATTGCGTACAAAGCGTTGGCAGTTCATGGCCAACGCAGCCTCCAAATATGATGGATGTTAATGCCTCTAAAACTCAAATATTGCATACATGATACTACTGTTCGTTAGATCATGGACCAAGCGGTCGTGACACTTACGTGCTTGTGCGTTTGCTTTATCACATGCGATTTAGTGAAAGGTTATGAAAGCAGGCTGTGAATGGCATGTGGAGCATTTCAATTCGCAACGTTCAGGATAGTTGCATTAGGTTCAGAGTGTGCAATGGTTTGGACTGCAGTTCGACAATCATAGGACGTTATTTGGTTTTTTCCCCTTTGTTTTGATTAAAATGAGATCATTCGAATGTTATGAATTACTGAACTCATTTTGAAGAATGATTTTGCTTCGGATATTGAAAAGTTGCATCCAGTCTACAGGTCCAAACTACTAGTCACCCTGGTTCTATATAGCTGCAGCACTCTTCGTTTTGGAGGAGATGTCCTTCACAAAATTCATCGAAATGTCTGGAAAAACGGGCAATAAATGAGAACGTAAGACTTAGATGCATCTTTCTTCCAGCTATGGCCAGACCACCAACGGAGTGAAGGGGAGAAATGGAAGAAATTAGGTCCTGATGGAAATAACTTGGTGAGATCTTACAGATGTTCTCCAACTGTACTACAGATGAGTGTCTATAGTATTCTCCTAAGTAGATCACGATCTTTCTTGGAACTTCCTCTCCGAAACGATGGATCGCGGAATTGCCAAGGTCAGCTTAAGTACACTCTGCCATCAGGTGGTACCTGCAGTATCAAACCAGTTTCGCTGCTTGCTCTCTTTGTATCCCATCACTATTTTTAAGGTTATATATTTTGATTGTAGGTATACGGAGGCTTGCATTGGAATAACTGTCATATTACGACTATGGAATCAAAAGAAGGTACATATATCTCTTGATGACTAATGATAGTTAGCGTCCATGTAGGACAGTGAATCCATTCAACAAATTTTTATTTTTGTAGCCGAGGTTAAAGAACTTGCATCTGATGATATTTTTGAAGCAATGGTCGAAGAGGTCGCAGGTCTTTGCCCTGCATGTCCCCGACCGGTAGCCGAGACACCACCAACCGGGCCCATGAGAGAGAGGTGCTGCAATATTCCTGGGTATGTTATCACCGTTACTCCCCATTGTTAGCATTTTGCTAATCATCCATAATAAAGCTCAAGCATCATTTGCTCTGCTATTGATGGCAGTGGCTCAACTGTTTTGTTGCATTCAACAAGTCGCCACGCAAATAGATTGCTTGACTTTATGATTTATTGTTCACCAGAAACTTGTGATACCTGATCAGAATCGAGATCTCATAGTTCCAATGGGTGAGGGGTAGATTTTGCGTTCTCTGGTAGCCCTGGACGCTAGGATAGGTTCATCAAAATTCCTTGGCTCATTTTGCTAAAATGGTATGCATTTCAGTCGTGAGTTTCACGCAATAAGGGAAGACATCGATCTTGGTGGCCAATTAGGCACAAGTGGCGAGTGACAACCGGTAGGACTTCAAGATATTCAGGATTCTAGACATTTTATAGGTTTTTATGATGGCAGCTCACAGTATCTTGGCCGATAGCATTACTCCGCAGACCGGGCAGATGGAAACTCTGATTACCAAACGAACGCAGGTCGACAGGTCTGTTTTGATACCCATGCAAACTTACCTCAAATTGAAGGGCCGCACAGCTTACAGAAACGGATGCATGGTGGTGATTCAGTCGGCAATGAAATATCCCGACCGACCAATACTAATCACGGGGGACAAGAATATTGACGAGTCTCGAAGCGATGGAGAGCATGATATGCAGTAAATGCTTGTGAACTATGCATTTCCCTTCCGGAAAGGGAGGCATCTTCTGTTGTCAGCCTTCTACACATAGGTGTCTCACGCTACCATTCAAACTTTCGAGTCAGATTGGTCAGCCCAAGAGGATTTCAAGCTTGAGTGGCCTACAAAATATCAATCGCACGCCCGTTGGCACCAAGCGTAGCTTTTGATATAATCAGGTTTATCCGACTCACATTAAAGCCGCATGTCTCTTTTGAAAATTCTCAAAGTATTATGATGGGACCAACTTTCCAACATTTCTTTTGTGAAAGCTCGAATTCCTAAATTTCCTAGCTACATAATTTTTTTTTATTTTTTTTTAGTAAAGAAGTTGGTATTAAGCTACAAGTTCTATTTTTTATCTCTTAATGACCTCGTTCAATTTTCTCCTAAGTTCCAATTCTCAGATGAAGTTTTGTAAAAGCTACTCCTTAAGAAAATCCACTCAACAGTATAAATAGGGCATACTTTGGATGACGTGCCGCAAGAACTTCACTCATATAGGAAGTGAATCCTCTTTTCTCATAGAGCTGGATTCACTCCGCTCACGGGCCAGGCTGGGGAAACTTCCTTCAATTCCATATCTACGTAGATCAATTAAATCTTAGAACTTTTATGCTACCTCAAAATCAACAGCCTTGTGCAAAATGACTTACAACGTTCCCCCGCGAGGATACATCTACGTCATTCGAATAAATGAATTAATCGAGAACCATTTACGGGACTTGGATGCAAAAGATTGGACTATTGTGCAACGCCATGGATACGAACGGGAAGTACGGCAGCGAGCTTTGCAAATGATCGATCAGGCAGTTGCGAACTACCCAGAAGATGTCCACTTGACTGGTTATATGGCAGATCTTAATTGGTATTATGAGTATGGTGACAGTAAGTTGATTCATTGTTGGGCTTGTCGCAGAGAAAACTAACTCAAGAAAAGAAAGGGTTCCATTTCCTTACCCATCACCAGCAGAAAATGCAAGGAACTACCTAATCAAAAATCCAGGCGTCAATATTCGCGGCTCTTTTCGAGATGGCAATCTACCAACGACACGAGGCGGTCGATCTGGTGGTGTTCAGGATGGTCATGGTAGTGCGCACCAGAGTAGTGACGTTGTTGAACAAGTTGATGTAACACTATCAGATCTATCTACATTTTTCCTAGCAACGATTAAGAGCTCTATTCATCGTCAAACTTCATCAAGCAGCAGAAGTGGCCCTATTCTTGCAAGACAACAAACCTCGGTTCATAACTCAAATGGTACGTGGGAACTTTCACTTGCAGCGTCATCTCAATCTGCAACATCGTTTCGAATTTTAAAACGATCTATCGGGGATTTCGATACCAGGGAAGACAAAGCAGTTGTAAAAAGAGAGCGAAAGGAGTAAAGACCAGTGGGAGACACGGAGGGGAACCGGTTGAGAATTGCACTGGGTATTCACAATATAGACATTGATTGAATAACACAATCATGATTCTAAATTTCATCTGATGGGGAGAAATCGGGTGATTTTGATCTGACCTTCGTCATAACTTTTGTTCGTATTGTGCCACTAATTCGGCAGCGCAAACGTTCCAATTGACTTGGTTTGGCGATGGACAAGATGGCTTCTAAATCGGCAGTATTGAGTTAGTTCAACAGCGGAAAGGACAGAAGATCTGATGATTTCGAAGGTATAATCCAATGCAGTGTTACCCTTTCGGTTCCTTGGTGATTACGGTAGTACTTTGATTTGAGGCCTTCCAAGATCAACCACAAGTCTACGAGATAGAACATCAGACCAGCTTTCTACAAGCCTCAGAACCTATTGCAAAACAATGTTCCTACGACACTCGATGATTTTCGTTTCGAGTAGAAGATATCTGAAAGTTGAACATTCAGTCCATGACCATATTGTTATAAGTAGCGGAACGGGGCGAAGAGACAAATGAGGATCTCAAGTTATGGAACATGTGAATGCGCAAATGTGTACTCAAGAGAAGATAAAGTTCCTTGGACAGGTATAAACCCAAGACTACTAGGTACATATCAGACGATGCAGGCTTCGTAAAATCAGTCGGGTTGTTTGTTCGGCCGTCTAATATTTGTTTTGTGAAGGGGTTTTTTGGATGTTGTCTAAGCTGACTAATACAAGGTTTCCACAACCTCTTCTCCACGACAATCACCCCTCTTTTGTGTCCAGAAATGCACATTATTGCGTATTGCGCGCACTTAACCTCGATGTCGTGCTCTTGTTAGTGTTGTTGATCATTGGGGAAATCCATTCCCAAGAAGCCGGTATTTCCCCAGATGAGGCGTTGATTGGTGCATCCGCCACATCAGATCAGTGCATTGGTGTTCAATTATCTATCCGGATCCTTATTCCTGACCTCGACGATGATATGCCTAAATAATTGCCGAGAAGCATGTCATGGCTGCGTATATGTCGAAATCTTCGTTTGGACTGGGCAATGTGAGCACGAACAAGTGTTTCGTGTCACATAAACATGACCCCAAGAAGGTTCCCAATGTATAAATCATATTCAAACATTTAGGATATTCGAAATACTGGGTTCATTGTGATTATTGAACCGATTTCATATACGAAAAGTTTCTGGTTGTTGGCACCGCAGTCTAGACTGTTTAAATCTCTGCTCGTGTGTCGAATCTGCGAGTAAAATATACACATTAGCACTGAATATTTTCGCCTGCGAAGTTCGGGATTTGGTAATTTCAGATCAAGAGGCTAATCCCGACAAACACCGGTTGCTGTCTTTTCGGACTTCGTTTTGTTTCTTTAAATCTACGTGACTTTAAAGACTTGATCGATTGTCTCAAAATGGTTGACACAATTCGAAGTATAGATATCGAGAGCGGTCGTCTCAAAGACGTGGACAACGGCCAAAGCTTGCGAGGATATTCCATCCATGTAGTACCACAATCCTTTGGAAGCACGATTGGTAGTCCGGTAAGTCCCTCAAAGTTCCTAAACAATCATCAACTTATTTGGGTCTTTATTCAGACCGCATTAGCGACTACTCTTACAACGCTCTCTTGTGCTCTTATGGGATTCCGCGGGCTATCTAATACAGATGTTTTCGTTGCGAATTTCAATTTTTGGTAGAAATCCCTTCCCGTTTTCTTCCTTGAAAGCTCATTCATTTAATTCTCTTACAGTGCAGGTATAGGCATGGTTATCTCTGCTCAGTGGGAGCTCATTCGAGGCAATTCATATGGCTATACTGTCCTGAGTGCTTTTGGACTTTTCTATGCTGGATTTGGTGCATTGGACATTCCTTTTCTGGGGATCGTAGCTGCATATGGAAATGATGCTGTACAGTATAATAATGCCCTTGGATTCTTTGTCTTATGTAGGAGTCCACGACTGCCTATTGAGGAACTAGGAAGCTGACAGAAATAGTGTGGTCTGTCTTCAACTTATTTTTCTTGATCGGATCACTTCCAATGTATGTATTATATATCATACCGCGGACATTCTTTTGATTGAGATCTAATCAACAACCTAGAAACCTCGTCTATATTGCCATCTTCTTTTTTGTACAACTAGCTTTCACTCTCGTCAGCGAATCGTATTTCTGCGCTGCAGACGGCAATCTTGGAACAGCTGCCGCACTCAAGAAAACTGCCGGAGCCTTTGCTTTTATCGCGGGGATGTTTGGATATTATACTGTGGGACATTTGATGTGCCAGGAAGCACTATTTTTCGATTTTCCAATGGGCGATACTAGTCGATTCTTCAGGAGGAAATTGAACAATGAGAGGCCAGTTCCACAACCACATGAGAAGGAATCTCAAGCCTAGTCGATTGTTCCGGACGAAACTCAACAATGAGAGACCAGTTCCACAAAAACATAAGAAGGAATCTCAAGCCTGAAGGATGATTTACACAGGAGACACTGAGTTCCATGAAAGAGGTGGTGGTTACGGTACAAAATAAGGCTTGGGGAAAAAAGGAGAAAAAATTGTGATAAATTGCTGAGGCATTTGGGATTCAATATCTAAAATTCGGAATCTACGACTAACTTTCAAATTTTTTAACAAATTCTTTATTCGATTGTTAATATCCGGATTCACTTTTTTATTGTTTCATCTTTAATGAATTATTGTATCAAATTCTAGGACACATAATTTGATACATCAAGAGATATTCACAAGTCAATTTTTGCCGTGTCCCGTCAATCCGTACACCCATAGGTAGATGGGAGATTTTCGGCAGTATCGTGCATGATTCCACTGCAATAGCATTGAAGTTGTGGGTTTATCAGTGACACACGGCTAACAAATGTGTTTACAACTCTGCTTGATTCTATCGAGTTTCTTCGCATTCGAGTTTCTTCGCATTCGAGTTTCTTCGCATTCGAGTTTCAGTAGCTATGTTGAATAAGGAGCAAAGTAAAAATCTTGTATTCATTTGCGATTCCTGATCTAGGTGGAAAGAGCAATCTAAAAAAATATCCCCTTTTCTAAAATTCCTATCGGTGTGGGCACGAAGCGCGGGATTTCTCTCAAGAGTGGACATATTGGGATGTTCCCAACATGACATTTCGAATCAACACAAGCCTATGAAGACCTCTGGAGTTTTCTGGGTTTGAGAATTCACTATTGGAGCAGTAGTTCACGTCTGGGGAGTTTTGTTTCTGTACAGATAAATTGCTGGTTGTTGAGAATTATCTGTTCACATTCCTTCGTCTCGTGATCGATCATGCGAGCGATGGCCGATGGACATCATAATGGATTCGACACGCCAGCTTTGATCTATGGCAGATGTGACAAGCAATAAGTGCAGGGAAGTGAACATTAACCTTACCCACTTTCTTGGCCAAAATGCTCCATAGCAAGATGTTCTAATGCCCAAGAAGCCAAATCAAGCTTTCCAATAGTGTGGTAAGCATTTTGGGTCCACTCGATAATGGATTCAGAAAGGGTAACAGCTGAAAATCATACCACAAGCTCTACTTCGATCAATATTTTTCCGCGCTTTCCCAATGAAGGATCAGATATTGGTTTTATCATATAGAAACAAGCTTTAAACAAAAGAACGAAAGGAAGGCTTGCAGGGAGAGGGGAGAGTGTAAAGTGTTTATCCGCTTGTCAGTAAGATTGCGGGGTAGCTTTTTGTGGATTCGCGGGGACTGGGGTTTGGAGAAGATGGGGTACTCGGGCTATTCGCAGGAGAAAGAACAGACCGGAATTGACCATTGGCGAAACCTTTCAACAATCTAATTGTTCTAATTCATTTCAAACAATTGAAAGCTTAAATAGTATGACAACCGAAGACTAATTGAAGGATCCATTCATTATTATTAAATCTCACAAATTCATTTGTTGTTGATTTATTATAAAATTTATTGAGGTGATCAATTTTGGCCTCTTTTTTCTCATACTCTACGTATATCGCAGACAGGTCAGATGGAAATGAATTCCAGGGTAAGAGGGTCAATCTTTTACCGGGAACCATGCTTCTCTTCAGATTATTGGTTTATCAATCTCACGCCTCAGCCGTGCATATTCACATTGAAGCTCCGGTGAGGGTGAAGGTTACGTATGTGTGAAAGTGGATAAGAAGCTCTGGATAAGATCCAGCCATGCGCACAATAAAGTTTACCATTTTCTTCCTGTCGTGCCCCGATTCACATCTCCACGTCTCGAGCATTGAAGCTCCAATCCGCAATCATGGGGATGTTATCCAAAGTCGAGGATCGCCCCACCCCTTCTCAAGTCTATAATTGGCGTGTTTATGCATGTTCTATTGTCGCTGGCTTTGCGGCTGTTATGATAGGTTATGATAGCGCATTTATTGGAACAACCATCGCCCTCCCATCTTTCAAAGAGGAGTTCAATTTCGCCGCATTATCTACCACGAAGCTAAATCTCGTGAGCGCCAATATCGTGTCATGTTATCAAGCTGGAGCATTCTTCGGCTCTCTCTTTGCGTATATTGCGGCGTATTTCCTTGGAAGAGTGAGAGGTATGGCCGTATTTAGTGCTGTGTTTACAATTGGAGCGGCAATGATGCTTGGTGCAAATGGAGATCGTGGCCTGGGTCTCATATACGGCGGACGAGTTCTTGCTGGGTTGGGCGTAGGAGGTTGTTCGAGTTTGGCTCCTATTTATATATCCGAGATATCTTTACCAGCAATTCGTGGCCGATTGGTTTGCGTAGGTTTTGCTAGTCAATTGCACATCCAGGCTCTTGCTAATCTTTCAGATGTTTGAATTGGGATGGCAGATTGGTGGACTGGTTGGATTCTGGATTAATGTGAGACAATTAAATCGTTTGAGTGAGGGGGAGGTCACTGATTGTCTCTGCAGTACGGAATCTCTGAAACTCTTCCATCTAACCACGAGCAATGGATCGTTCCATTTGCAATTCAGCTCATTCCTTCCGGACTGTTATTACTCGGATCGTTTTGGCTTCACGAAACCCCTCGCGTGAGTACATCGGCTTCCAAATTCTTCAGTCTTTCTTCTCAATTGCGTTGCTTTTCAATATCATGGCTAACCTCCATTCCATGCAGTGGTTAATGAGTAAAGGAAAACGGGACAAAGCAATCAAGAATCTATGTTGGATTCGAAACCTCACTGAAGATGATATCTACATCAAGGAAGAGATCTACGCAATCGACCAAAATATTGAACAACAAATGGCAGGTGGTGGTCTTGGATTCTGGCAGCCATTCAAACTCCTCGCGAGAAGCCGAAAGATCCAATGGAGATTTTTTCTTGGAGGTGCATTATTCTTTTGGCAAAACGCTTCTGGTATCAATGCCGTCAACTATTATTCTCCAACTATCTTTAAAAGTATTGGGATTATCGGTACCAACACATCACTATTCTCGACCGGTCTATTCGGTGTTGTCAAAACTGTTGGAACTATCATTTACTTGCTGTTCCTAATTGATCAATTGGGGCGCAGGAAGCTATTGATGATCGGATCCATTGGTGGAGCGTTGTGCATGTACTACGTCGCTGGTTACATTGCAATTGCAAAACCTGCGGATCATCCAACAAGTTCCCTACCCCCTTCTGGTGTATCTGCCGTTTTCTTTTTCTACTTGTGGACTGTAAGTATTTCAACCAATTGAATACTCAATAACATACTAATAACTCTCCAGGCATTTTACACCCCAACCTGGAACCCAACACCCTGGGTAATAAACGCCGAGATCTTCGACCAAAGTGTCCGAACGCTAGCTCAAGCACATGCCGCTGCCCATAATTGGCTGTGGAATTTTCTCATCTCGAGATTCACACCGCAAATGTTCTCTTCAATGGGATATGGAGTCTACTTGTTCTTCGCATCATTGATGATTTGGGGTGCGGCTTTCGTTTTCTTCTTGATTCCAGAAACGAAGAACGTTCCTCTGGAGGCGGTTGATAGACTCTTTCAGCGCGGTTTGCCGGCTAGGAGAGCGCATGCAGTTGTGTGGGCGGAATTGGAGCAGGAGGAAGAGGCATTGAGAGCGGGAATCACGGCGGGATTGGAAAAAGAAAGGACGACTGCACATGTTGAGACTGTTTAATATGGATGAGATGCGAGTGATTAGCGTATATTCGTAGCTAATGGCCAATTCATGGCTTGATTGTTGTTGCAGTAGTGAGAAAATGTAATATCAAAAGCTCTGCATAATCTTGCCTATGCGTTAGTTTCCTTGAAATGATGAGATTCGAGTAAGGAATCGTAGAGTGCTAATCTGTCAAGAAGAATACCCTTGATGTGAGATAAATGTATCTTCAGGTTAAAGGGCATCCAGAGGAATGGAAAGTCCCAAGCCTTGGAACTGTGCACTCCTTATCCTTTTCCCCCTACTTCCTATTCCCGAACCCTAATAAGAATGCAATTCTCAACGCCGACCCAAACCCGAGAATCCCGTAATTAATCAACTCCTCCGTCGACCATTCCCCAACGTTAAAAATTCCAACGGAATCCGCCTTGTAGATTCCCCAAAAATGTCCTACGTCACACAATAGCATAGCAAACACCACCGTCTTCCACACGGAGTAATCACGAGTGAGTCTCAAGACCACCGCTTCGTTGATTGTGAATAGAACATAGAGAGCCGCGATATCAGTGGAGAGGAACTGTATCACGGGGTCCGGAGTAAGAGTCGATGAGAGAGAAACAAAATGTTCAGAAAGAGAAGAAGGAGCCGTGCCGTGGATAAACTTGTAGGGTTCGAAGTAGGCTAGGTAGGCGCCAGAGAGGGCCAGGATAGGTTCGATGTAGAGGAGGAAAATACGGTAGAAGGGGTGGATTTTGGAAATGCGGGAGTCAATTGATGGGGCCATTGTGAAAACGGTGACGATGACGATGACGGTATTTTGTTGGAAAAGGATTGAAGGCGATAGGTTAAAGGTAGGGTATGGTATATATGAAGGAGATGTGGTTATGAGCTTCGATGTTTACAAAGCTGAGACAGTGCGTATCACTTGAGAAGTCTGTGCTGCCGTAAATTTTCCGCCGTAGACTCTGGTGACTGTTACCAAGGGAAAACCAGACACATCTAAAAGATTTGGCATTATATTCCATATCCCGAGGTCATCATCGATGTCATCTTCTTAAGTAGTCAATCGAATATCTAGCTTGCTTCAATTTGGAGTTTCCTTCATTATGAATCCTTATCAACTTTAACATTTTTAGACCTACTTTACCAGAAATTCGAATTATACCTCTGAGAAAGAGTCCCCTCAGACAGAGAGAATAATTCAAAGTACGAAATGTGATATAATGACATCCTGTTTTAGATTTATAAAGGGATGTCAATATAACACCGTCTTCACACTAACAATTTCTCCGTTTTCCTTCCTTGACCTGAGATTGTGCGAAACCAAATGGTGACTTCATGCCTCCACCGTTTATTCTCGTCTCTAGTTTTCTCTGTGAATCGGTGTTCTGCGAGACAAAGCCGTTCAATTAATTGTACACTTCATCCTTGACTTACCGCTACTTGTTGTACACAAATATGTGAGAGTCAAAACACTTCATGCTATGGATTCCTGAGTCAACTGATCTCTAAGCCATAGGTGACTTTCGATTCCATGCCTCTCCCCTTTCCCGATCACGTAAAACTATGGGATGGCAATCTTGGCAAGCCATATTCCAGATATCCATTACATGCGCACTCCTGTGAACAAGCTAGACCTTTGCCGCATTGTCAGACATTTAACACAGAAATCTCACCCATTTCATGCACAGCTACAATCAACTTCAGTCTCAATCTCAAGGGTATATCTCTAATCATTTCTGTTCGTTGGCGGCGCTTGCAGAGCTATCTTTCCTGGTTCCTAATTACACAACACTCCTCCCCAACTCCTTTTTATTCATATCCACTGATCCAACCCGTATCAATATTACCACCCGTAAAATACCGCCATTGCCCACTAGCTAGCTTTGTTTAATTGTATCATCCGACACCGATCATCATGAAGCCTTCATTCCTTCCGCATTAATTATCATCTATCTTCTCCACTTCGAGTTTGGCTTCCTCCCAAGTTTCCTTATTCTTTTTAGCCCATTCAATTTGAGCTCTCGCGTATGCAAGCTGTGAACATGATTAGCATTTCCGTCGCAACTCGGCTATGGGTATGCGAAAGAGGAAATGTAAAATGACGTGGACACGTACCATATATCTCTTCAAATCATCTTCTTTCTCTTTTTGAAATCTCTGCAAATCCTTAAGAACACCTGCACTTGCATCTTTGACATCTTGTGCGGACGCAAGTTGAGCTTGCTCCAAATGTGAAATTGCCTCTCTAGTCTTGCTAATTTGATCCCTCCGTGTTCGCTCCGGATCAGCATCAACAACGCCATGAACTGCATGACTTATACGTCCAAAGATCTTGTTTGTGATGAAATTTCCACTGGAACTCTTTCGATGAGTAGGAGGAATTTCTTCCTGTTGAGGGATTCCTTGAGAAGCAGATGGAGTATCGCCGTGAGTTGGAGGAAAATCGGAATCAATTGATGCCGTATCATCATGCGGTGATTCACGTCTTGCTTGTGGCGGTTCTCTTGCAGACGAATTTGACCGCCGTGGTACATTGCCAGTTCCACTATTGGTTAGATATTGGTCGATTCTCTTTGCTTCAGCTTCGCTTCTTTCCAACTGCTCTAGAAGAGCTCTCTTTTTAGCTAGGTCTTCATTAGTCATTTCTTGCTGAACCCTCTTCAAAACGCGATATCTCAAAACACTTCGCACTACACCGGCAAATTGTGCACTCTCGCGCATTGGTTCGGCAAAGGTTGCACCTAAGGAAGCAGAGAGTTCCTCGGTCGCAATGTACGAAGAATCAACAGCTTGACCAACTCTTTCTATAGCTGCTGCAAGAGATGCCGACGGCTCTGAGAGCGAAAAACCATTGTATCTAGCGCCAAGTTCCGCCAAATCAGTCGATAACGAAGACAAATGGGTCAATGTCCTCCGGTTCACTCGTTCAATAGGTCCAGTCAACAATGCTTCCAAGTCCTTTGTAGAAGATTCAAAGCTTATGAAGTATGGATCCAAATCCTGCTCACTCAAATTCGCACTTTCCGGAGGGATTCTGCCAAAGACTTGCGGTCCGGCTGTAGAATGCGCCGCGGTGGAAGGACTGGCGGCATACTCAGAAGCTTGTGCTATCATACCTTGAGCATTGGTAGTAGATGCAGAAGCTGCCTTGAGTTTCGCAGAGGATGCAGGCACAGGTAGGAATGCGTGAGCAGGTGTGGGGTTGGCGGGGTCGAGTGGTGGGGCTTTCATATTGGATTTTGGAATTGATGCAATAGGATGGGAATGTAATACTTCGTTCTAATGAGAGTTAAAATAGGAACGGTGGCGGAATATGAAAGATCGTTGACTTACCCAACTTGCGTTTGGATCCAGAAATCTCCACCAAACCCCATCATTCCGTACCTCATCCATTCTCCTACATCTGTTCAAGAAGACAGCCAACATGCGCTTTCGAAGATCTATCATTTGTTGATCTACCTTTGCTTTGGTTGGGTTCGCCGCATAATCTGCTATGGTATGCTTTTCTGGAATAGGTGGAATGATCAAAGTAGGATGTAACCTGGAGAGTGCATCTCTTAAAGAGGCAAACTCGGAATAGCGACGACGGACTTCAAGATCCTACTATATTGTTAGCTTGTCTATTTTACCTAGCTAGTTAACATACCCCGGTTCTTATCGTATACACAATATATTTCCCACCACTCTCAGAACTCTTCCCGGCGTCAACAATCAGAATAGGGAGTTCCGGATTCTCGTAAAGAATTTGTTCAATGCGACTATCGTATCCCCCCTTCTTCTGCCTCCTTGTAGCCTGAGATGCTTCGCCATAATCCTCATCACTTCCTGCCTCACTCGGGTCATAACTTAGATTGCGCTGTTCTGGTACATTATCTTGGTTTTCGCTGATGGTGGAAGGAGTGCGTGGTCCACCAAAATCATGTTCTACGATGTCCCAGCCCTCGGAGTCAGCATCAGACTCAGCACCTGGCGCGTAGCCCAGGAAAACAGAAAACATTTTGATACAAAGCGATCAAAGTTGTAAAAATGAAAGAAAACAACTTACGAGATCCAGGTGAATTCGGGACAGCATTTGAAGAAGTTATTGAATCTCGGCGCTCGAAGCTGGTGCCGTATGGATTATTGTCTTCATCATTCCACATCCTGTATGAATGATATGCTTGCTTGTACGGTAAGCTTTTTGTGTTTCTGTAAATATTTGATTAATGATTAGACAATTGTTTGGGTGTTGTGATTTGATGTTATTCAAGGTCATGGCAGTTGGAACAAGCACTCAAGGAAAGCTTTCCTACATTCATTCTCAGTTCTAACATAGTTGATCACCAGCCATCGTCATTGGTGTGCACAGACCACAACCATCATTGAGGCTCGATTGATTGAAGCTGGAGCTGGAGCCCCTCACAAAGTGAAGTGTGGCACTGCAAGTATTCAATCATCTACTTCAAATTTCAATTGATGATTTGATAAAAAAGATTTCTCAATATAAGGAAGGTCCTGACATATATCATTAAGACGTGTTAGAAGTTCTGTCCTACTTGGCAATTGAACTATCTTTACCTTCACATTCCCTTCCCATTTGATCTTGGATTGTCCTCTTTATTCAGAACTATTACTCTATCAGCCAAACGTCTAATCAAGAGATTCTTCCAGGCATTACACCATGATCACCAGATAGGGAGTTTCCAAAGTTCCTTTACAGATACACGTTATCAATCACTCACTCAATTGCCATCAGGCGTCAGTTCAGATTTCCCAAACAGCTTCATCATATACTGAGGTGATACCAACTAGTCAGGACTTCAGCCTGCTCAGAAACCCTCTCTCTCCTCCCTTGGTGAAAATCATGAGATGAGACAACACCACTACTATCAATTCATCATAGCAAAGGATATTCATTCTTTACTCTCAGTCAGTCAAGAAATTCATCCGCAAGTACTATATCAAGTCTAATCTGATCAAGCAAGGCCCCAAGCTCCACCTTAGGCAAACCACAAGTGGAAGCTAGGCAGAGTCGAGCGAGTTCCTTTCCCCTTATTGACTTAGACGAGCAGCCAGAGAATGTAGAGATCTCAAGATAATACCTATACACATCTCATCGAAGCCGCCAACCCTCGAGATAAAACTCCCATATACGAAGCATTAATCAATAATTGCACTTCACAAAATCATCACAATCAAGTTTCAGATATCTGTTTTATTCCGTTTTTCATTTCCCATCTCATTCCACTCATGGAACCTACCTCCCTATCATCGGGTCAGGTTGCCAAGTCCCTTTCTATCCTGATACCTAATCCCATACTGGTCATCATTCCCTATCCAATCCCCTCTTGAACCCTCGAATTATTTCCTCTCTTTTTCTGGATATCAATATCAATCATTCAATACCCTCTCTTGAGATCCTCGCCTTCCTCAATTTTTCATCCACAAATGTTTCCCCTTGACATCTCCACCCCACGAAACAAAAAAAGATACACAGAACGCAAAAGCCATTAGAGACCAAAACAAGAAAGAAAGCACAACGAAGCGAATGAAGGTAGTAAAGAAAAGATGAAATGGAATAAATAAGAAATTGAGAGCTCGGTATTACAACACAATATTTCCTGCCCATGCCTATCAAATGCACGCAAGTTCAATTTCAAACAAATCAACTAAGTCACTTTTCCCCCTCCATACTATAAGCTCAAAATAATCATTAAAAGAAGTCCCTGTCCTTAATTAATGTCCTGCCACTTCCTCTTCAACCCAACCATTGAGTCCATGTCCTTGTCCATCAATGCCAAG